GAGAGAGAGAGAGACAGACAGACAGATGAGTTGGATACCAGCTTATTTTAACTTTTCCTCCTGGGAGAATCTAGCAGGTTATACAATCTCCAGTACAACCTTATATGAAGGCACACAAGTTTTGATCAGTACTCAAAATTCTAATGTAATAAGTGATGTGTTCTTTTCTGCCTCCTTTTTTCAGAGCCAGCAGAATGGAGAAAACTGGTGGATTCACTCACCAAACAGAAGCTCTAGAAAGAGTGTGTGCTGGGCACTGCCAAAGACCCAGGGGCTGCAGAGAAGACCTGGGGACTGATGTTCTCCAGTTCACTGGGCTCATATTCTGGCAAGGAATAACCTGGACACTTTCCACTGAAGACATCAGTCTATAATAATACAAAGCACACACAGATCTCCTTACTGTACCCTGGCAGTGGGACAGGACTTAAACCCTCCTTTGCTAATGAATCCCTACCTGCTCCCATCTATGCACAGTCCCCTTTTTATCCCCCAATGCCTCTCATTGTCAGCATCTCTACCAATTTCCCATTGTTGAACTCCCAAGAAAGCCTATGGGTCCACAACCCATCTGGAATACAATATTCAAAGTAAACTTTATAGTGATCAATCTTCCAATTATAAAATCCAAGAGTCAAGAAAACTCTCTCTCAAAAAAAAAAAAAGATGCACGGGAAATCAATGGGCTAGATCTGCCCTGACTGCAGCTTACTGGGTGCTTGGTATCCGTGACACACCATCTGATTAAAGGCTCACACTGTACGGTAGACAAGGTCAAGAGTTTGTTAAGGAAAAGTAGCAGTGAGTCATTGAAGACCTCTCAGAATCTGGCTGTTGGGAAAACCCACTTCTGGCCCTGTATTCTGCTGAAGAAATGTTGCATCAGATATATCCCAGCAGGGAGAGGTGACAGGAAAATGGGGCCAAGGGAAGATGACAGATATGGAATGTGACACCTCTTGACTTTGCCACTGGACCATGCAACCTTATAACCATAAAAACAGAGTGAGTTGAAATCAGAATTACAACAAATCTCTGCTTAAGTTGTACAAATTTGTGTTTAATTATCAGCTATTCGGGCATGTTTGTTTCTGCTGTAACTGTAGGGTGCATTTGCTTTACAGTAGAAAGGACCATGAACTGTGAATCAGAATGGTCAAATCCAAATCCTACCTTCACCACTGACTTTATCATTTTAGAAAATCACCTAACCTCTCATCTGTAGAGTGGGAATGAGAGTAGTGGGCTACATGAGAATTCACTGAGTTTAGAAATATAAAGGTCTGAGAAGTGTCTGCTCAGAGTAAACACGGGGGTGACAGAGATGACCTAAAAAATAACCTATTACAAAGCCTTAACTCTCTGCTCTACAGTTAAGCGGAGACGTACCTAGTGTAGGTGTGAAGCCACATTTGTCAATATTCCATGATAGCAAACAAAGATCAGATTTTTGAACCCTAGACAATGACAGCTATATTAGTTGAGCAAATCTAAGGAATTTATTGTTAATGGAAAATTACAAAAAATTCTGCAAAAATAGAAAGTGTGAAGATTTTTAAGAGGATATGGACTCAGCTGCAGTCTTTCTCCCAAGGCCATTTGTCTACAATGTACACAGCCCTACAGAAAGACAGAATAAGGAAAGAAAATGTCAAGCAAATATTCAGGATATGTGTACACTTCTCCCAGAAATTCTCAATGCTTTGCATGTTCTAGAACATTGAGCATTTCAGAAACTATTTGGCTACTCTCTTTTCTGTCTGGATCCACTCTTTGTGATCAGTTTTTATACTTGAGTCATTTTTTCCAATTGTTTCACGTCTTGTTCCCCCTGTTTAAAAAACAGTGCATATTAGCATTAATCTGATTCATACAACTGACACAGTCTGCCTCTGTTGCTTGAGTATTTACTTGTAATATTGGGATTTAAGTCTTTGACTTATTCTCTTCACAATTCAACAACATAATCCTTGTTACTTTGAGTAAAGCATGCTCATTGTTGTTATTGAGGATGCAAAATTAATGATACCCCATTTCCTGCTCTCAGACAAACTACATCCAGAAGATCAAATCAGGGGCTGGGATGTAACTCGGTGGCACAGCGCTTGCCTAGCATGCGTGAGGCCCTGGGTTCGATCCCAGCACCAAAAAAGAAAAGACAAAAAAAAAAAACTCTCCCCCAGAAGATCAAATCAGGATGCAGCTCTGAAAACGTGGAACCCCACTGGGCCTGGTGGCTCATGCCTGTAATCCTAGCATCTTGGGAGACAGAGATTGGAGGATCACAGGTCCATGTGAGCCCTGGCAAAAGTTGGTGAGAACCCACATCAACCAATAGTTGGGTGTGGTGGCATGCATCTGTCATTCCAGCTGCACAGGAGGCTGAGATTAGAAGAATCATGGTTCCAAGCCAGTCAGAGCAAAAATGTTTGCAAGATCTGCTCTCAACAACAACCAAAAAAAGCTGGACATAGTGGTGCACAGCTATCATTCCAGCTATAGTGGGAAGTCTAACATAGGAGGATCACCATCCAGGTCAGCCTGAATAAAACGCAAGACTCTATCTCAAAAAATAACCATTGGAAGAGGAAAAAAGCACTGGAGGCATGACTCTAGCTGTAA